AAAAAAAAAAAAAAAAAAAAAAAAAAAAAAAAAAAAAAAAAACCAAACCAAAAAACCAAAAACACCACCCCAAAACCCCCAAAAACTCCAAAGAATGAGAAACGGCCCCAAATCCGAACCAGTCTGTGCCCAGGTGGGTGCTACATACAGGCTGGGGGTTCCGGGGCGTGCGGGGCTCCCCGGCCTCGGGGTCGCTCCGCCTCTTCCCGAGGGGGGTCGGCTCAAAGTGCATCAAGCAGGAGGTCAGGAGTGTCCCCGCACCGGGCAGGTGGGGAAACCGAGGCACGGCGCGGGGACAGGGAGGGGCTTTGGGGGGGTGGAATCCAGCCCTTGGCAGCCAAGTCCATGCAAACGCTCCCGGCTCTAGGAACCATCTCGGGCGCGCGTATTGCTTAGGGGATGATTTGGTTTATCCTAAATACGAGCTCTAACGCTAGATCGGAGAATCCGACGGGATCCGCCGCGGGAGGGGGCTCACGGGGCTCCATGCACGTCACATGCACTCACGGGTCGGATTTTGTCTGGCGAGGGGGGGTTCGGTGTGTCGGTGTCGGTACCAAAGTCTCCGCGCTCTGCGAGCGGCGGCGGCGGCAGCGCCCGGCGCGGCGGGGCCCCGGCGCGGCTCTGTCCCCTCGGCTGCCCCCCGCCCGGGGGGGGTCTCGTCTCTGGGCCACAGATGGATGTACATAGAGATATTTATAGATATTTATAGGTGTCTCCTCCTCGCTGTCGCGGCGGGTCCCCGGCGGCGGGGGCGCCCCGTTACTTCATCCCGCTGCGCAGCACCTGGTTGGCGGCGATGAGCATCACGCTGATGATGAAGGCGATGGCGAAGGCGCAGATGAGGCTCTTCCTCACGCAGGTCTGGCGGATCTGCTGGCTGGAGCAGGCTGGGGGTGGGACAAACACCGCGTTACCCCAATCCCAAATACACTCTGCTTGTACTAAGGGTGACCAGTGCTATCCCCATGGTTTGCCATCCCCGTGGGGGGTTTGGCGTCCCCACGGATTTCAGCATTCCCGGTGCCCGGCACTCACTCTCCACGTCGACGGGGCACTCCTCGGCCGTGCCCATGTGGCTCTCCTCCTCCGTCATGATGATGTTCTCGATGTCCTTCATGGACAGGTGCTCGCAGAAGGTGTCGTACAGCAGCCGCTTCAGCTCGTCCACCGTCAGCTTCTGCATGTCACACTGCCAGGGACGGGGGCTCGGGGTGACCCCATGGCCGGCAGAACGGGGCTCCGGGGTCCCCCAGAACCTTTGGATGTGGTGGTTTGGGTGGATCGCCCTGGAATTGTCTGGGAAAGGGCCTGGTGTCCTGGGAACCCCCAGAAGAGTGAGGGGCACACAGAGGGTGCTGGCACCCTGTTTGTGACAGGGACACAGGAGCTCAGGGGTGTGCACCCTGACCCTGATCCTGATCCTGACCTTGACCCCAGTCCTGACCTTGACCTCAGTCCTGACCCTGAACCTGTTCCAGACCCCAGTCCTGACCCTGGGCCCACCATTAAACCTGATCCCAACCCTCATCCTAACCCTGACTCCAACCCCAACCCTGATCCTAAACCTAGCCCTAACCCCGACCCTTAAACCATTGCTGACCCTGAGCCAGGCTTACACAAACCCTAAACTGGAGCCTGAGCCTGAGCTTGACGCTTACCCTGATCTTAAACCCAATCCTGACTCTTAAACCAACCCTAACCTCATCCTTGACCCAAAGCCTGACTTTCACCATCAGCCCATCCCAATCCCAACCTTGGCCCTGACTCTGACCCTTCCCTCGTGCAGGTTCTGGGGTGATGCCCCAGGAGGGGCTGGGGTGTCCCTGCCCTCCCGTGGGGCTGGGGGTGTCCCTGCCCTCCCGTGGGGCTGGGCTGTCCCTACCTTCCAGAAGACGGTGTCGAAGTCGGTGCCGTGGAACTTCTCGGGGATGCCCGAGGTGGAGAGTTTGGGCCCCAGCAATGTCACAAACTCCTCGAAGTCCACCTGCCCGTCACCTGCGGGACACAGGAGTGGCCGTCACCCCCATGCCTGGGCATAGGGCACATGGGACACTCCCCCACCCAGAAGGGGCCCCATGGGTGGTTACAGATCTCCAAAAGCAGTTGGGGACCCCAAGATCAGCTGGGAACCTCCAGCAAATTTAGGGAACTTCCAACTTTGGCCAGGATGACCAGCATTGGATGGGGTCTCCTATGCCATCCAGGGCCCCAGGGCCAATTGGGAACACCCACTGTGGGCTAGGGGCACCCTAATACCACCTATCCCCCCCCAAATGTGATCTGGGACCCCAGTGCTGGCTGGGGAAACCAAATACCATCCAGGACATGAACATGAGCTGGACTCTAATTCCAGCTGGGACCTCAATGTCATCTGGAGGTCTCCCAGGGCTAACTGGGGACCACAAACATTGGCTGAGGACCCCCAAAACCAACCAGGGACTCCAACACTGGGTGGGGACCTCCAACAAAGCTTGGTGTCCCCAGCACCAGCTGGGATGGTAACACTGGCTGGGGTCCCCAGTGCTGGCTGGGCTCTCATTGGCATGCAGGGACCCCCAGTATTCCCTGGGGACCCCCAATGCCATTTGGGCCCCCTTCCAATGGGACCTGGGGACACCCAGTGTCACCTGGAGCCCCCAGGACTGGCTGGGGAAGCCCAATGCTGTCCAGGACTCTGAACAACAGTCGGACCCTGAATTCCAGCAAGAACCCCAACTCCAGCAGGGACCCCGGTAGTGGCCATGACCCCGGTGGTGGCCGTGACCCTGGGGGTGGCCGTGACCCCGGTGGTGGCTGTGACCCTGGGGGTGCTTGGTGGCTGTTCTTGGCCGTGTCCCCTGGCCGTGGGGACGCTGCCGCGGCGCTGTCAGGGCAGCACTAACGATGAGTGATGAGGGGAGCGGCGCCTTGGCAGCGCTGCCGGAAAGGCTTTTAAATGGGGGAAAAAGGAAAAGCAATAAATTAAGGAGCTTTTTCAGGTCCCTGTGGGCGAGGGAGGGGTGGGGACAGAGTCACGGTGGCATCGAGTGCTGGGGGGTGATGGGTGCTGAGGACACGACCCAGGGTGCAGGATCCACCCCTGGGTGCGGGATCCAGCCTCGGCAGCGCGGTCCCAGCAGGTTTAGCGATCCCACAAACATCCAGGATCCTTAAATCATCCCGAACAAAGCTGCAGTGCCAATGATGATGATGATGATGGATGAGCGGGAGGCTCCAGCGGGAGGCAGAGCCCGGGTCAGGCTCATCCCACATCCCGTGCCGTGTCCAGCACGCGGGGTGGGAATACGGGAGAATTGTGTGTTTCTCCGCCTGGGGATCCCGTCCCTGTCCCCGTGCCGGGTTGTCGGGTCCTACCGTCCATGTCGAGGCGCTGGATGATGACCTCCAGCTCCACCTCGTTGGGCATGTACCCCAGGGAGCGCATGGCCGTGCCCAGCTCCTGCTTGGAGATGAACCCGTTGCCATCGCGGTCGAACACCTTGAAGGCTTCCCGGATCTCTGGGGGGGGAGCAGGAGTGAGTCCGCCGAGCTTCAGCACCCACAGAACCACTCCAGCACCCGCAGAACCCCTGTGGGGATCCCACCTGCCCCCTCCGGCCAGCGTGGGACCCCCAACCTCCCCAGCAGGGTCCCACCTGCCCAGCGGACCCCGAATATTTGCCCCAATTCCAGGCACCCGCTCGCCGCACCCAGCCTGCCCTCGCTAGTGCCACAGCCGAAACTGCGGCGTTCTGCCCTAAAAACGCAGCCCTGGATGTGCCTGGGCTTGGGGTGCCACCAGGTGGGCACTGCCGCGGGGGCACCCCCGGCGCTGCACGCCCAGCCCGGAGCGCTCCTGAGCATCCATGGGGGGCTGGGGCTGTGCCCCATCCTGGTGCTGCAGCTGTGCCACTCTTCACCCAAAAAAAAATCCCAAATCGACGAAATTGCTGCAGTGTTCAGCCCTGTCCAGTGCAGAGGAGGATGGAGATGCAGGTTTGGGGGTTTCTGGCCCAACAGGAACCCCTGGGATGTGGGGGAAGATCCCTGCAGGGCAGCAGGGAGATGCTGCAGGGAAACTGAGGCATGGCCTGAAACCCTTGGCTCCACCCCACCTCTTGCTGCACTCAGGGCTCTGCTCCTTTTTTGGGGCAGTTTCTGGCTTTTTGATGCCACCTGATGTGTGAAGCTGGAGCCAGGCTGGTGGAAAAGAAGGACCAGGGAATTTGTGCTGGGGGACAGTGGGAAGCCAGGCCAGGACGTTGGTGCCTCTTCCTCCTCCACGTGGCTGCCAGGGGGATCCAAGCAGGAGAAATGGGCTGTGAACTTTGGGTTTGGGGGGAAAAACCCACATTGGGTGACAGTACTGACCCCAAGTGCTTGGGAACATCCCTGCCTGGGTGGTGTCACATCAGTGACGTCTTCAAGGTGTTTTGGGGGAGTTTTGTGGCTTCTCCGTGGCCAGTGTCGCTGCCTGGGCAGGGAGATCCTCCAGCTTCTCCTTGTGCTCCCGGGGGGCCCCACTCCACTCCAGGCACCCCCAAAATTCATCCTTCAAGGATGCTCATCCCGAAGAGCTCCAGGATGGCTCCTCATCAGATGGTTCGGGATGTTGGGGGACACGAAGGGACGTGTCCTGACCGTGGCCAGAGTGGGCTCCTGGCTCCTCACTGAGCACCCCCTGCCCCAGCTGCGCCCTGAGTCTGCTCAGCCCCAGTGTGGAGCCGTGTCAGGATGTCACCAGTGTCCCCAAAGCAGGGGGACAGGAGGAGCTGGGAGCCCGTGGGTGTCTGGCACCTTGTGGGGTCCCCCTGGGGCTCCCAGCGCTGCCGTCGGCCCCGCTGCCACAGGTGGGTGCAGAGGGGACACGGCACTGGGAGCCCGGGGATGGGTGAACTGGGACATCACTGGTGCAGGGACACGGGAGTGGTACATGGACACCACAGAGGGGTGTGAGCACACACCGACACACACACAGACACACGGACAGACACACGGACAGCTGCAGCACTCACACA